AGAAAATAGTCTGAGATGGTTTGAATGCCCACACATTTCCACACACGTCTGCTGCTTTGCTTATGCTGTGCCCTCTACCTAGAATGCCCTTTATAATCAGTTTTACTTCTGTGCAACCCCTTCCCTTAGAAATAAAAATATGGATAGCAAGTTATCCCTATGTCTATACCCTTTGCTATAATAAGCTTTACTGTATTATGAATTTCTGCAGAGAAAGTGTTTTTGCATTTCCAGTTACTGGCATGGGTATGAACTTAATAATTGTTTATTAGGTACAATTTAACGAAACTTTACTTAGAATTAATATGATCAAGTGTTTGTTTGGCAAAATTAGGTCCCATGTTCTTATTGTATTATCTCCATATTCTTCCGTGAGTTAAAAGGAATGTGACCTAACAAACTGATAGTCTTGGTAGCATTTCTGTGTGTGACTTTCAGTGATTATAGTTATGTGGTATCAAAATGGCCATCAAGAAAATGCAGAAAATTCAATCAATCAAGTAGTTTATCTATCACAAGCCAAAATTATTCTAATTTTGTTGATAATGTTTTCTGATTAAACTAATTATTTTTATATTATGTAAACATACCTAATAAAATAGTTACTTCAAGGAAAACAGTCTTAAAATAAGATTTTAGCATTATATGGATGAAAAGCCCAAGTCATTATTTTTTTCACATTTCTTCTGTACATGGGAATTTAGTTTGGATTACTAAGGAAAACCAATCCTGCAACATAAAAATAAATTCTATAAATCATATGAAAAATAAAATTCAATGAATAGAATATGCACATGGTATGATGATTATTTAAAACATATCTTAATCAAGATAATTCTGTCCCTTTATAAAATATGCATGTTAAGCATTTGTTAAACAAGTGATTTCTATCCCATTGCCTATTTTTTTTATTATGTAAGATCCTTTTTAGGATCTTATTTATTATAAATCTACAAAAGTTTTCAGGCTTATAAGAAGTATTTTATGAGGGAAAAGTTAGTGTTTAAATATTGGGATAGTATTTTTTAAATTTAGAAATGCTTGTGGAGAATGAAACTAATAAAAATAACAAGAAACACTAGAAATATATATTTTTTTAGAAAAAATTCGTAATAGCAGAAGTTTAAAAAAGAGACCAGGGAAAGCTTCCAAAATCACAATAGCGTTTCTGGTAAAGTGCAGAATTTTACACGTTACATCAATATTTTTCCAAATCTAGCTTACAGTATCTTATAGAAAAATTTTTGAAGTATTTACACCTTCTTTCCTCACAGCCTTAAAGATTTTAGTCAAGTAGAACAGGAGTCAGAAAACCTTTTATGTAAAGGGCCAGGAAGTAAATATTTTAGGCTTTGCAGACTATACAGGCCGTGTCACAACAATTGAGCTTTGCCACTCTACCATGAAAACTGACATTGACGATATATAAATGAATGGGCTTGGCTCCAATAAAATTTTACTTACAAAAACAGGAAGCATTCTGATTTGACCAGCTTGCCAAATCTTGATGTAGATTAATGTTAGCAATTTTATAGCCATTTTCATAAATTTTATATGGCTTATATAAAAATAAGACTATGAGAAACTATCTTCACAATTAGCAGTTGATTAGAAGTGAACATAGTCATTATAACATTTTATAATTCAAGTAAAAATACCAAAATTCTATCTTTTGTATCTATAGATGCTTACTATGGTGAAATTTATCTCTGAAACTAACTTCATCCAAAGAGAACAGATTGCATGTGTAGAACTTTTTTTTCTCCATTTTTCTTACTCTAGGAACTCAAAAATTATATCTCCCATTTACTGAGTGAATACTACAAAATAGAGCTCATTCCTTAGCCTACAAATATCATGGTTATTTACTTCTCACAGCCTAATGAAGCAGATAGTACATTGCCCATTTTACATGTGAGTGAACTGAAGCTAAAGAGACTATATAATCCTGACTGCAACAACTATTAAATGATGACAGATCTGAAATTCAAACCCCAGCATGGCTTTCAAAGCCTATGATATAGTTCTACAGGGATTAAATGAGTGTGAAAACATTCTTAAGTCTAAATTCTTATTTGTTCCCAATGAAAAAGAGATATACTCTTATAAAAGTTTATAGCTTTTGGTATAAGGCTATGTATAATAAAGCTTACAGATTGGAAAATATTTCCAGATATATTTTGTGTATTATATTACAGTTTGGATGTTGGTTCTTGAGCAACTACTTATTTTTTTGTTTGTTTGTTTTATCAGCCAACAGCTACACAGACAGTTTCCAGTTTGCAATCAATATAGCCTCAAGGAATAGACAGAATCAAAAATTGCTTTATAATTACAGAACTCAAAATACAGCTTAATTTTCATTTGCATTGCCATGATGCCAGTGCAGTATTTATATCCTGACACTGGTCTTGGACAGATGATGTGAATATAACACTCTGAGACCTCATTCATGGTAATGGTTGTAACAAAAAGAATTGTTAAAAAGTGAAGAATCAATTGGCCTGAAAACATAATAATCTTATTCTATGTTCTTTAATAGATATTTAAAGAATTACTATGTAGAAAAACTTTGAATATGGAAAGCCTCTGATTCATATAAAGGAATGGAGAAGTAATGTATAAAGAGCTACCAATCCTACAGTTAGCTGTCAGAAAACTAAGTTCTGATACTGAACTTTTACCACTTAATTGATTACTTTGGAAAAAATTACTTAACCTCCTTAAGCATCAGCTTGCTCAGCTGTGAAAGAATTGGGGGAGACAGTAGAGGGTGGGACAGCTATAAAATTCTATGATTCTGCCACTGAGAAGATTACTAAAATCCACATATCTAAGCATTTGGGCTAATCTCTTTATAACATATTACAGAGCCATATAATTTGCCCTGCTCTCTTCAACTTTTCCATCAGTTAGATGGAGATATAGTCTGTTTATCAGATTTCGAGGTGAAACAAGCCTGGAATAAAAGTGAATATGAGGTATGATGGAATCAAAGCCAAAAAATCTTGACAGGCTGGTATAATAGGCTTACTCAAATCTTACAGAACATATAATAGAAATAAATATGGGTCCTTTTGTGAAGATACTAATGGCTCAAGTACACTTAAGTTTTCATGCTATAACATTAGCCAATGGAGTATTTGGCTATGAGAACTCATTTGTCATTTATAGATCTGTAATAGATATCTTTGTAGTATCTTTAACTCCCCATTCTTCTCTACTATTTCATAGGACTCTTAAGCAGAATTCAAATCTTGATAAGCCTGCTTATCTGTTCCCTCCATGTTGTCACCCAGGCCTCTGATTGTTATTCAAAAATAAAATTATCTAGTTTGAAAAATTGATACCCACCATAAATTCATGGCCAGAAAACTACCTGAACCTTCTCCATAGTTCATAAGTATTATGTCTGGTTTTTTCAACTTTCTTCCCCAATCCCTACAGTGACTATTTTAAATCTTCTCCACATTCTCAAACTTCATGACTTCACTGTTCTCTTCTGTCTCAGAGGATGAATTTGTGTCCTACTTTTCTGAGAAAAATTATTGCCCTCACATGGCATCTCTCAAAATTGACTTCTGGATCATCACTCATTAGTTCGTTCTTTTCTTTATTACTATAGAGGAAATTTCTAAGCTACTAACTAAGCCCAATTCTTCCACCCATGCATTGGCACTTGTGATAGATATTTCGCATATTGTGGGTGTCCATCTTTTTTATTACCTTTTCTATATTTTATAAAATCCCATGTTAGAAGACCTGCCTCTGGAGCATGACACATGACTCACACGTCTACCTGGCTTACAAGTAGGCTACACACATGATAGAGCTTCTTACCAATCAGATGTAATTCTTTAATTCTGCTTATTACAACAATGACAGTGAATTTTGCTTTTTGCAACTAAGAACCCTAAAAGATGCAGATTTTATTCCTTTTCTCCTTTATAGAAACTATGAAATATTCAATCTCCTGTATCTTCAATTTCCTTCCATTTCACTAGACCCTCTCAATAGCATTTAAACTACTTTACTCTTTCCCATTTAATAAAATCCTCCTAAGAATCCCATTACTGTGCAGCTACTGCCCTATAAGTCTTCTCCCTTCCTCAAAGAAAACATTCATTTAGTGGTTCTAACTTGGTACTTCTAATTCCTTACTTCCTGCCATAATATAGGCTGATCTAGCAGCTTTTTATACAATTCAGGACTCTCTGTTACTAAAAGGCTTTTTTTTTTTTTTTTTTTGGCTTCTCTAATGCCACGCTCCCTTGTGATGCATGCCACTTCAGCTGTCTTTTTTTGGTCTTCTCTACTATTTACTCTCACTTTTCACAGTTCCTTCTTGATTTTAAACTTCACTTTCTTCTTCATCTGCTCATTTTCCCTAATAAATCTCTTCCATTCCCATTGTTCACCTTCAACTAGCAATATTCCTTTACTTGCAAAATTTATATCTTCAGAATAGACCATACCTCTGAACTTCAGGCCCAACTAGTCAATAAATATCCTATAGACATCCTCACCTGGATGTCTCATTAAGTAGCAAACATTGTATATTCAAAGCTGATTGCTGATCTGCACATGCGCACGCACACACACACACACACACACACACAGTCACCCACCAGTGGTTATTACACATAGCACACACCATTCACTCAGTACCTGACGGAAGAAATCTGACAGTCATCAAAGGTCAATGTGGAGTAATCTAAGAGTATGTCTAAGTATGTATATAGAGATATTTAATATTCTACTTCATTCTTTATCCCCTTGCCTGTGTTATTTATGTGAGGTGAAGTGTAGAAGAAGAAAGGAGTGAGAAAGCCTTTATGTTTCCTCTGTGCTTATTTCTTTTTGAAAAAGATTCTTGAGATTCTATGTGCAAAAAAATACTATTAATCACCAGGTTCACACTGTGTAGCCCTTTATGATGTATTTTTATCTTTAATCCAACAGAAATCTATATTCAGCTATAGAAAGAAGACAGAGTGAGCCTACCAGCTAAACAGTATGTTTGCAGTCTCTAGCTGTGATTTCAAAGAGGCTTCTCTGGAAGCAGTTTTCTATCCCACTAGTTTTTAATAGGAGAGGGAAAATTGGTTTACAATATGAACTTTTAAACTTTCTCTTATTTTCATACCAATTGCTTGCCCCACACTTGAACCCAACAATTTCCCATATATTCAAGTGTTTTTCTACTCATAGTTCTTAGCCAGAATCAAAGCAGTTTAGCTGAATGAGTCTGTGCTGTCATATGGGCCACAGATAAAAAGACCAGGCACATAAGTGGCAGCAATTCATGGACTTTCTAATGTACTTTTTTCCACTTTTGAGCTTATTGAACTAAACTACTGAACCTTTTCAGGCTTATCTTTGGATTTTGACCTTCATTTGTCCAAGTTCTTACTGCATTTGAGGCATTTCAACTAATGAAATAGTATGCTCATGTAGTTATTGTCATAATTATTTACTATATGTAATAATTTTTTCTTTAATTTTTCCAAAATTTGTGATTATTTTCAGTGCTTCAGATAACTTCCTAATTGTGTAATTGATATTACATTAGTGATCTCAGAATGTTCATAGTAGACTAAAAATTATTTTCATATTATGTAGATATCTAATTCTTAAAAATGCTTTTATAAGTTATTGAAGAAATGAAGGAATGATAGGAGAGGCCAACAAATGAATGGGACAAGGATTGAATAGTGAAGAGTAAAGGAAGATTGAAGAAAGTGAGAGACTTTGCATCATTAAGTGCCAGGTAGTATTAGGGTCAGGAGAAAAAAAATACTTTACGCCTGTGTCACAGGTTTAAAGTTGAATAAGAAAGATGTAATAATGCCAATCAAATGGGCAGTGTTTACAGAGATAGCAACTGTGTGTTCAAAACTGGGAAAGTACAAAACCACAGTTTATTAACCACATACATCAAAGGGCCAGTGTAAGGGCTCTTTGCTGAATGCAATGGAAGTAATATGTATTCTGTATGTTTTAGAGATTAAGAAGAGGACCTCTGAACTTAACAAGGTCTACATTGACATTTTCTAGTGGTGTGACCTTGTGCAAGTTACTTAACCTCTCCAAGTTGCTGATTCCTCATTTGCAAAAGGGGATAATTATAGGGTTTTATTGAGGACTGAAACAGATTACCCAAGTAAAAATAGTTCTAAGCACAGTTCTCGCACTAAGTGAGAGCTAAAAACATATTAGACATTATTATCATTAGAATAGTATGGAAGGAGTGGCACAGGGATGATGGGGTTCAAGGGACAGGGTCTTCCAGGCTATAGAGTTACTGACGAAAAGAAATCAGGTGGAAAATGGGAAACATGGCAGTCAAGGATAGAAACCTCTGGCAATCAGTCTTCCATAACCTTTTGAGAGTCAAGCAGTATGTTTAAAAGACTCAGTTTTAGAATTAATAAGTAGCACAGTCAGTCCTCAAAGGCAGATATTTCTAACTGTGCAACATTCAGAAAATTGCTTTCCTTTTAAAGAGACTTAAAAGTCTCAGCTGTCTTCCCTTAAAAAAAAAAAAAAGATAATAATAGTACTTTTGAAACCATTGCCTGGCATGTAGTAATTCTCAATAAAAGCTAGCCAGTATTAAAAGGTGATTCTGATTCTTCATATTCTCCTCTCCTCCCCTCCCTACCCCATTCCTTTTTCATCCTTTCCCCTCCCCTCTTCTTCTCTTTTCCTCTGGTTCTCTACTCCCCTGAAACACCCCTCCCCCCAGTCCATTTACTGTCTGTCTCAAATTATCTGTATTGGTGAACTGAATATAGATGTTTAGCATATTTTTCTATATAAGCCTATAAAATGAATAATGGGCAATATATATAGCTTATACATAGAATGACTTAAAAAAATGAACTTTTGATGGTCATGACTACCAAAACTAACCAGTGTGACAATGTTTTGGGTTTTTTTGTTTTGTTTAAAAATCTATTTATTTATTTGTGAGAGAGAGAGTGTGTGTGTGTGAGAATGTGGGGAGAGGGCCAGAGGGAGAGGAAGAGAGAAAATCTTAAGTAGACCCCTCACTGAATGTGGAGCCCTTCTCAGGGCTCAATCCCAGGACCCCAAGATCATGACCTGAGCCAAAAGCAAGAGTCAGACACTTAACTGACTGAGCCACCCAGGCGCCCCTGTGTGACAATGCTAAAACAGAATGAGACTAGTGGAAATGTTAGGGACTAAAAACCATTTAGAAACTATAGCATTTTTCTTTAAAGAGAAAAAATAACCCACAACTTTGTGGAAGAGAGATGACTGAGTTTTAAAGAGAAAAAATAACCCACAACTTTGTGGAAGAGAGATGACTGAGTTTTACCCAGAACATCTGCACGTTTTGGAGACTTATCACTATTTTTTGAAAGAATAGAAATTGATGGCTGGCTACTAAGCTCTTGTAAAAACCAGAGGCTTTGAATTTGCCTACTGTATTAAGAGATCCCCAAAAGGGTTAACAGAGTCAACTGGATATCACTAAATTCAGTTCATCCCCATTTATAATGTACCTACAACCTGAGGAAACGTTTTAATAAATTGCTAAAGCAGGAAATTAGAGCAGTGTCTTGTTTTCTTCTCTGTATTATTGCGCATGCATGTATGTACGTGTGTGGGGGCATACATGTGACTTCAGTCATCTGCTGGTTACTTCTACATACATACTCCATTTGCACTACAAACTCAGACTAGCTTTATCAACCTCCGACTGCTAAACTCCTCATCCTCCGGGGTTTCCTCCTTGCCTCCATTACCCAGGCCACTCAGCCTTGAAAACATCAAGTTCTTATTTGACCTTAACCCACAGTCTACTCATTGTCAAGTCCTGTTCCTTCTAGTTAGGAAAGTCCTTCCCATCTATTCCCCCCTCTCTTTTGCTGTTGCCAGCATCCTTGATTTGATTCTTACTTTCACCACCTGAACTGTTGTTACAACTTTTTAATCTAAAGTCACAACTTTTTACTCTTCTTAATTCAAGTTCTCTGTACATTGCTGGGAGCTTAGTATTCCTGAAGGACAGTTCTAATTTTGCTGCTTCTCTGCTCATAAAGGTTTAATGTCTCTGGCTACAGAATGAAGTTTGGTCTCTTTATGTTGGCGTGCCAGCCTTCTAATGATCCTCCTCCTACCCTCCAAGCCTATTTTCTGTTATTCCCCTTCACACAGCCTGTGCTCTTAGCCAACTGAACTCTAGACTTTTCTCTGTGTACTTAGCAGGCTCTTCCACTGTTTCCCTTTCTCTTGCTCTTATCTCTTTCTGGTGATGTAATAAGCTCATTATTTGTTGAATGAAATAATTAATTGACTAATTTTCCCAGTGTTGAAACTCATTGAATTAAGGATCAACATCTGATGCATCTTGGAGCTCCCTTTGCCTCGAGCAAAGTTGATTTCAAATATTTTTTAAATGAACAAGTGTTTAAATTTCCTTATCCCAATTAAGGGTTTTAAATGATTTACTGCATGATTTTTAAAAATAATATAATATTCATGTTCGGTTATAGCCTTGTGTTTTTGTTTACTGATAAACTATTCACCTAGTTTACAATTTTCTGTAGGGTGGGAAAGATTCTTCTTTCTTGACCACCATCTTTCATTGTATTCTGCTTCTAGGAGATTGATCCAAACCACCCTGCTCTGTCACGCAGGCTTCAAACTATTTTGAAGTCTGGCATCATCTAGGTCACTTTTTTTCTCTAAAATATTCCCTCTCTCCCGTACCATATTTCAAATTTTGTCTGTTAGACAGGGATTTTTAAATTACATGTGAATGCATTGTCCTCTCTTAACCCAGTAAAAAATAGATTGAAAAAAAAATCACTATGGATATTTGAAATCTATGCAAGAAAAGAGATTTTGATTTCTGAAAGGTGTATGTTGAGGACTGAAAAAGAGAACTTATCTCTAATTATGTGAATTCATTTTAATAAATATCAAATTATAACACTAAATTAATATTACTTCAGTTTGGTGATTTTGTTTTTTGCAGTGCCCAAAGTAATCCTTATGATAACCATAATAATGTGATTCAAATATGCAGGAATTTTTATATTTTAAAAATCATTATGTACAACTTTAGATTCTTCTTTATAGCTTATAGTCTACTGTTCTAAAGATAAAACATATTAAATCCATGCTTATATTAGTACTTGATGTAGTAAATGTATATGAAACATATTTTTCATGAAACTATAGTTTATCACAAGCAATGGCTATTTTTAATGAAGAAATTAAAGAAGTATTTGCTATAACTAATAGCTTCTGATTGGCAGGCCAGTTGCCTTGGCTTTGCCATATAGAAAGAGTTTCTTAAATTATAATTTAAGATATTTCTATGAATTAGCAGTGTTATTACCAAATTCATCATTTTAATAATAGGAGGAGTCTACTTTCATTCACCCTTGAAGTGATAGCTACTTGCTTTTCAATAATTTGCAGTTTGCTTCCAGGGTTTTCCTAGCAAATCTCTACATACTCTATCCACACTTTTGAAATCCTTAGGAATTCAATATTCAGTTTAAACAGTCATTATTTATAAAAAATTGAGAATAACATTATACTACATATTTAACTCTAAAATTATCTACAAAGGGTATTTTTTCATATTTTTGGAGATAAAAGGTATAACAAATAATACAAAATATCTTTTTTTTTCTTGTTTAACTTGTGGTTTCTATTTTGTTCTGTTTGTTTTCTTTTGCTTTTGTATGTGTGCATGCATTCATGAATATATATATACATGAGAAATACTAGAGAAGAAAACTGTATATATTCTATAAATTAATAGGCTTTTGATTCCTCTGTGCTCCCAAGGAAATTTTACTGTTGGCCTCTAAGCAAGTATAATTGAGTGAGATGGTACTATTCCTATTTCATATAATCTACTTGATAGCAAAGATGATGACACTATGCTTCTATTTGCAGCAATAGGAGGCACATGAGATATTCTGAAAAACAGCCCTACTAAAAATCAGTTAAGATGTTCGATAAAAT